TTCCTCTATATCTCTCCGCCTCCTTGCTTTGCTTCTTTCTTGACATTGCGCTCTTGTTAGCTTACCGCGCGTATTACAGTCAGTAACGGTGCTAAATTATTCAATCTTTAGAGGATGGCTTGGCAAAATTCGCGGCACAGTTTCGTGCCCCTGAATTATGCATGATAATCCCTATTTTAAATTATATAATTTAATAACTAATAACAATAATTAAGATACTAATGAATAAATATTTGCTGAATACTATACGTTGTAGTTACTTAGATCGCAACCCGTGAGACGCCGTGCAACTGCAGCATCGCCTGGCACTCGCTTACTGCTGGTGCTGCCCTCTACCGCCTAATTTCTAGACCTTATAGCCACGCTGCCGATGTTTCAGGATGGGGAGACAGCGCGCTTGCCTTACTGCTGGCCTCGCGTCCCAGGCGACTATCAGATGCTGCCGTAATCTATCCGCGACAGTTCTTTCAAATTCATTACACACACACATACAATCAGCTTACAACCTTGCGTGACAATAATTGCCACCGTCATCACCGTGACTAAAGCTAAAAAAAATTGCCACACATTACAATAGCAATCAGCGATGCTTGAAGTGCAGGAGTGAAGAAAAAACACGTGTTTTCATTTTAATCAGCATAGAAAACATAACATATACACACATTCAGTATCAAACCGGTTAGGTACTTAACTGTCTTACTGCCGCAAATACCTACAAATGCATGATCTTGCATCACACGAGTATCACTAGCCATGCATAGCAGTTATCTACCTGGGTTAAATTCAGTGAAAATAATGGCCCAGGACGAACAGATATGCCACATCACCAAGTGTGGCTTTAGGCCACTCGTCCTTTGCCGGTGGCCTCCAAGCCCCCGTCAGCTCACTCTGACCGAGCCGCTTCCGCGACCGAAAATAGTCGTTTTTATTTACGTATTTTAGTACATGCTAAAATCAGTGTTACCATGGTGATAGCCGATTGTTATTACCCATAGCATAGATATAGCATTAAATATGAAAAATACAAGAACAAGCGCCAGTGCCAGCACTCGCGTAAGTTATTAGTAGCACGTTATAGTATTGCTCGACGTTAATATTTTGTAAAACCTAAAGGCAACCTTATAGAATGTAATAATAAAATAGTGTATGAAGGCCACATATATAGTATTTCTGTATGCACGGGGGCCTAACGGCCACCTATTATACGTATCTGTAAATAACAGAAATAAGTATGATTGGGGGGCCCCAAAAGCCGACATATATAGTATTTGTATGAACGGGGGCCTAATGCCACCTATTAAAATTTGTAATAATTAGTGTATGAGGAGGCCCGCGCCGCCCAAAGGCAACATATATACAGCATTTGTCATGCGCGAGGCCTAAGGCCCCTTATAGTATTGTAGTATAGTGTTATGTTGGGCGGCCACCAAAGCCACATTATATAGTATTGTGTTATGAAGCGCGGGCCTAAGCCGCCTATATAGTAGTGTGTGGAAACCTTGATTTGTAAGCATATACCGCCTCCAGCAAAAAAAGTTAGGCTGCATTCACTATGCACAGTGCTATACTTGCGTCAGCGGGGCCCTAGCCCTGGTGGCTTAAGGCCACACTTGAATGTGGATATCTGTCGCCTGCATACTGCAACGGGGACCTTACATGCAAGATCTTCCTCTTATTTTTTAAAATAATGTCTACTGATGGAATGTTATCATATAAATCTATGCTAGAATAACTTCTTCTTTATTTTAAAATGGCATAATCTTTGCAAAATACGATTCTCTCGGGAGATAATGCGCATGCCCGCGCACCGGTTTAGGCGTGCTAGTGCCGGCGGAGCAGAGCGGGTGTATAATATAGCATTGCTGCTGGGGAAAAGAGGGGATGGGGAGACTGAGAAAGGCGGCAGAATAGATAGCCTGGGGGGCGTTTAGAAAAGAGAAGGAGGCTGAGCCGAGCGGACAGGGAGGCAAGGCGGAAGAATGCGAGGGCATAAAGTAGCGTGTTTTGTACCTACATGTTAGGGCCGCTGTCCTAATTATAAACACACGGTCTACCTGAAATAAAGGTTTATTTAGGTAAAACTAGTGCTAGACTAACCCCCTAACCATTTTAAATGCCATACTTCATCACAAAATATAAACTCCTTCTGCGTGAGATAATGCGCATGCGCTAACACACTAACCTAGCCAGATTGCTGTACTTGGCCGTATACGCAACGGGGACTTACATTCAAGGTCGTCCTTAAATTTATGTTTTGTACCCTACATGCTAGGGCCGCCTCTCCTAATTATAACAGACGGTATATGATAAAGTTTATTAGGGAACTCTATGCTGAGATAACCCTACCATGTTTAAATGCATATCATTCACAAAATACAAACTCTCTGGTGAGATATTGGCGCATGCGCTAACACAATAAACGTAGCCAGATGTGCTACTGCGCTGCGATACGCAGCGCAGGGCGACAGATATTCCCATCCAAGTGTGCGCTTTAGGCCCGTCGTCCCCCGCCAGTGGCCTCCAGCCTCCCGTCAGCTCACTGCCGACAATTACCCTTCGCGACCGGAGAATAGTTGATTTTTGTTTAAGTATTTAGTAATGCTAAAACAAACTACCATTCGGTATATGCGATTGTATTTCCCATAGGCATAGATATAGGCCTAGATAGCGCGCCTAAAGCCACCTATATAGCTATTGTAATAATAGAATAATTTATGTTGGGGGCCAATGGCCACATAGTATAGCATTGTATATGGACGCGTGCCTAATGCCTACTATATAGTATTGTAGTATAATGTATGCTTGGCAGCCTACCAAAGGCACACTTATATTAGTATTGTGTATGAAGCAGGGCCTAGCCTCCTTTACATGTAGGTGTGTGGTAATCCTTGGTTGTAATCTATTACCGCCTCCAGCAAAGAAAAGTAAGGCTTCATCACCTTGCACAGTGTATTATTGCGCCAGCATGGGGACCTATGCCCCGGTGGCTTAAGGCCACACTTGCGTAAGTGGATATCTGTCAGCTGCAAAGGAATTGAGCGTTCGCGGCCACAATGTATTGCGCGACATATTATAATGGATTCGTATATTATATGTTCTGTCTAACTTTACATGTCTACTGTATGTTAATGACGATGAAGCTTCCATCAAAACAGCCCCCTACTGGCCACCTGAGGACATCCGAGCAATCGCACATCCACAATGCCTCGCGTGCGCCTCTACTGGCGCCACCCTATCGGAGAAACTGGCCGAAGCCGAGTCCTATACACGTTCTCTTCCGTCGGATGCGTTGGGCGAAACGCAAGCGAGACGGTAAGACTTCTTTCTCCGCCTATTTCATCGACAACTCGCCGCCGTCACGACGCATCCATCGAGAACGCTACGGGTCCGTTGCCACGGCAACGACTCTCTCGGTCACGGGGGACGCTTGCGGATGACGGATTGATATGGGCCCAACGTGCGCGTGTCCGCGCCGACGAACGTCGATTTCACGGTTGACGTACTGGCCTGACGCACATCCTGATGACCGTCACGGTTCGTCGCAGCACGGCGCGGTTGTACGTTGACCTTAAAGACCTGAAGAAGGTTGAAACGTACTGCGGTGAAGATCGCCGTGGAATATGAGTACGGCCTGGGCCCAACGATGTGACCATAGTTCATTCACACCTCACGGTAAGTACCGGACGAAGGGGAGGGAGACGGGCAGGACAGGAGGAGAAAGATGGCCTCATAGAACGAAACTTATATTGTCAGTACAGAGTTTGTCAACACGAATTGCTGTCGCGTATGAGATAGAGTTGAGATTCGCGTTCGCGCTATCAAGTACCGGCCAAAAAAAAAAAAGTAGTAGATATATATGTAATATTCAGTACATGAGCTAACATAGTAGTAGACAACGCTAGTAGTAACAGGAGTACATATTAGTGCATAGTTAAAATGCATTAGTAATATTATGTTACATGATACACCTACCATATTAGAATAAACTATGAGCAAATACCCACCGCTTGTACCAAACGATAAGAAGAAATCTTCATTCCTGTTCACACTTACCGTTACCATGTATAAACAGGTGCATTGTGCGAACTGCAGTGAGGCGATCGTATGAGGTTGACCTGGTGTGCGCCGCCGAGACAGTAGGACGAAGGTCACGGTCACATCGCATCATTGGTGGCGGTGATACTACGTGCATCGTTCTATCATAGCTGTTTATTTCTATAACCGCTGTACGGTGAGACGACGAACCGCAGCTCCGTTACATCCGTGGAACCTCCTATACTTCAAGCATATCATAAATCTAGTGTATTTCTAGCCAGAATAGCAGCAAGTAGCTAGCTAGTATAAGCAGTAGTTAGTAGTAGTGAGTAGTAGTAGTAGTAGTAGTAGCTAGTATGTAGTAGTAGTAGCAGCAGCAGCAGCAGCAGCCCAACAAGCAGTAGTAGCAGTAGCAGCCAGCAGCAACGAGGTTAGATATAGCAGCAGTGCAGTAGTCAGTAGTAGCCAGCGGGTAGTAAGTAGTATTATGTAGCAGTAGCAGCAGGCAGAAGCAGTAGCAGCAGTAGCTACTGTAGTAGCAATAGAGTACTAGCAGCACAGCGGTAGTACCAATAGCAGCAATAGCAGCAGCAACAACAACAGCCCAGCAGCAAGCATATAGTATTAGCAGCAGCAGCAGCAGCCAGCCAAAAAACAACAACAATAACAGCAGCAGCAGCAGCAACCACAACAAAAGCAGCAACAAGCAGCAGCAGCAGCCAGCCAGCAACAGCGCTAAAACGCTTGACCAATAGCGCGATTGTTAGTCCGCATTGTTATCATGACAACGAGCCGCCCGTTGTTTTCGACCAGCTGACTAAACCTCAGATCCCCGCTGAATCTGAACAGATCGAAGCGTCTCGCACACGTGCGACTGATGCTGACAGGTATACTCGCTGACCAGTGTCACTCTCTTCACTCCATCCAGACTCTGCCGACAGCGAGATGGTTCAAAGCAGATAAGCCGCGTAATCCGCTCAACGTCGTCAACAGAGACCCATTAAATTCATCCGTAATCTGTACACAGGTACGAGAAGAATTTGATGCCTCACAAGCGTGTATGTAATTCTCATAACTCGGTAACATATTCTGTTAAAGGATTACGCGCAGTGGACTATATCATGACAGATAGGCAACCAAGGGTAATTGATAAAATCAGCGACTGAATGATTTAATACTGACACCACTCCCTACTAACACACACCACCCACCACCACACACACCACCACCACCACACACACACACACACACACACACACACACACACACACACACACACACACACACACACACACACACACACACTATTTACACATACGTTATTTCCCCCTCAGGTCGCTTCGGTACGCTCTACCAGGCGGAGCTGGACAGCCACATCGACACCGACCCCGTGCGTGTCGTCATGGTGAAGGAATTCGCGCCGGAACTAGCCAGCCACACGCGCCTACGGCACGAGCGGCAGGCGACGAACATCGGCGGACTGTCGCACCCGAACGTGCACGGCCTCGTCGGCATCGTACGCGACCCGAACCCGTCCATCGTCTACGAGTTCCTCGAGTGGGGCGACCTGAAGAGCTTTCTGCTCAGCAACATGCCGAAGACGCGCAGGGGGTTCTATCAGTCGAAGCGCGACACGATCTCGCGCACGCTCAAGAAGGCTGGATTGTTCGGATACGCCGGAAAGCGCGTCGCCTTCCCGCTGACGACCAACGATATCGTTACCATGGCAATGCAGGTGGCTGGAGGCATGGCCTACCTGTCACGCAATGGGTGCGTAGTAGAGCGGCAGCGGTATCTTCCTCCTCCCCGCACGACTGACAACACAACTAACCTCTGAGCTCTGACCGCTGACTTTAACACAACTGACCTCTGAGCTCTGACTCGAACTTTAACACAACTGACCTCTGAGCTCTGACCGCTGACTTTAACACAACTGACCTCTGACTTTAACACAACTGACCTCTGAGCTCTGCCTTTGACTTTAACACAACTAACCTCTGCGCTCTGACTCTGACTTTAACACAACTGACCTCTGAGCTCTGACTCGGACTTTAACACAACTGACCTCTGAGCTCTGACTCTGACTTTAACACAACTGACCTCTGAGCTCTGACTCTGACTTTAACACAACTGACCTCTGAGCTCTGACCGCTGACTTTAACACAACTGACCTCTGACCTCTGACCGCTGACTTTAACACAACTGACCTCTGAC